TGCCCATTTACGTGTAACCTCGGGCAAGTCTTCTCCCCTCTCGGCCTCTGTGTCTTCCTCTGTGCAAAGCGGTTGGCCGGGTGACCACTCAGGTCACTTCCGTTACCCACATTCTAGGGCCGTGGGGTTGTGTTGGTTTACAAGTTGCTCGGGAGCTTCTTGGGAGTAATCTGAAACTGGCCCCTGTACTCAGAGGGCAGAGGCAGACAGAAAAAAGAGGCCCAGGTTGGCAGGTCACAGTTTTAAGATGCAAAGGGAACTTACCTGAGAGGCTTGCCTTGGGTGGCAGCAAGACAAATGGATCCCTACCCCCGCCCACCAAATCTTAAAAGTTTGTAGGGAGAGAGGCCTCAACTGGGTTGAGCCAAGTTACTGTGCAGGTGTTCTCAATCCCACGTCATCATCTCGAGGCTGTATCCTAGAAGCAGCCCCTGGGAGCCAGAAAGGCAAGCAGAACCCACATTCCAAGGACAGGGGAAGTGGTGAGGAGCCTCTGATCCTTTGAGTCCAGCTCATGGGTCAACTGGTGGTCACATTTAAAAACAAATGTTTATTTATTTATTTTGAGAGAGAAAGAGAGCATGAGCAACAGAGGGACAAAGAGAGAGGGAGAGAGAGTTCTGCACTGTCAGTGTGCGGAACCTGACTTGGGGCTTGAACTCATGAACTGTGAGATCATGACCTGCGCTGAAACCAAGAGTAAGACACTTAACCAACTGAGCCCCCAGGGAGCCCCCCGGTAGGTCACATATTTTTGGTGACCTTCCCTAACACTATGTAAGAGGCTGTGTTGTGTGTATAAAGGTTTCCCCCACACAGAGGAGCTAGGACGTTGGAACTGGAGTAGACTTGGAACACCTGCTTAGCTCATGGACTGGCCAGAGTAGATTTTTTAAAAAGCCAAGGTTAGCTTTAGAAAGCACTGCTAGTCACCATTAGGATTATGAATTTTTTTATGCAACAAAATCACTCCATAATGTTCTGCTTCAAATTGAGACAGATATAAGAACATCCCAGTCTCAATAGGCTTATAGCTTATAAAATTATTTTATTGCCTGTAATGATGAACCTGAAACGGTCTTGGGGAGAAGGCAACCAAGCCCCATGCCA